TTGCAGCAAGAGGAGGGGAAGTTGCAGTTAGGCCATGGTTTTACCAGATGTCAAGGCAGCAAATCATAATATAATTTTAGGTTTTATACACCATTCAACCTGTAGAAGGTTGACTGGGTTTCTTTTTCTCTTTATTTCTGTGATTCTTTTTATTTGTTCATTCATTCACTCATTCATGCAACACGTGTATGTGTGCCATGGCACTACCCTGGATGTTGTGGTGGACACGACCACCAGTCCCTGCTCTCATGGCTGTCACAGTCAAGTGGAGAGAGACAGATAGCAGATGCATAAGTCAATGTTAGGTAGCAGAAAAGGCTATGAAGACAATAAAGCTGGGTGATATGCCTCAGCCTTGGAGAGGGAGGCCAGAGAAGGCCTCTCTGAGGAGGAGACACTGGAGTGAGGCCTGAGTAACATTGGAGGAGCTGCTTGGAGAAACTGCATGAGAGTAGGCTGGTGAGGGGGTGGAAGCGAGTACTCAGTTCATTTTTACTTATGGGTGGGTTCTACTAGTCAAATCAGAAGCAGAAAATAAAGAACCATTCCTGTTATTAAAAATGTAATTGGCTCAATTTCTGAGAACTTAATAGGGTGGGGAAGAATTCAGGCATTTAAGAATGACCATTTGGCTCTGAACTAGTCCAGGCTCAAGGTGACCCATGAAAAGAATAGTAGGCCGTTTTGAAGGTGTGCTTCTGGGAAAATAAGCAGTTCCCACTGAAGAATCAGAAGTGAAAGCTAGGAATGGCGATGCGCATTCTAGAGCCCTCTGCCCACTCTCAGAGGACCCACCTAACTGTTCTACAATGACACACATCCTAAAAATCGAAGGAGTTGGAATAGATGAATGGTTCTGATGTCGCAAGCCTGGGGCTCTGATTCACCGATCTGCACTGGGGCCGGGGCTGCACATTCAGGAGCTCCCAGGTAGTTCTGATGGATAGTGAACTGAAAACCACTGATGTAGTCCCACCCCTCAAGTTATGGGGCTGTGGGTGGGTTAGAGGCCAACAGAAGGGCAGGGAATTGTTACAGGCCACCCAAGAAACCACCGATACTTGACCCAGATTTCAACTGCTGCCTGGTGCAGCCCTAGAATCTAGTTTAAGCTCTTCGAGTTTTTCCACTGTGCTACTGAATGGTTTTTAAAATTACATTCTTGATTTTCTAGATTATGACCCAATAAACCGTGTTGACATATTTTGTTCTCAAGTTGCACGGGGAAGTAATTTTTCTCACATGATATCTTTTATTTATTTTTGATGACAGTTTATGTTTTGATGGTTGTAAAAGCAAATAACCACAAGAGAATGTACAGAAAGTTATAAAATAAAGGTCACTTGTAATTCTGCCACTCAAAGGTAACCACTGTTAGGATTTTGTATATATCCTTCTGAACTTTTTACTGCTTGTATGTGTGTGCGTGTGAGTGTGTGTCTTTATCTTAATTTCTCATTTGATTTTTTTAAACAAAAATGAGAAACATTTTTATAATTTATAACTTAATCAGGAATCTATGAAATTATGCAAATGATTGTCTATTTCCATGTCTTCTGTACTAATGAAAATGGTTCAGGGTTCTACTGTGTGCAATTATAGATTGTATTATGATGTATGATCACATTCAAAACTATAAAGAAATCACAGGAATTGCCAAAAGTAGAAGAAAGTGATCACTTGTTGGGATTTCTCCCGCTGTGTGTCTTGGAAGTGGTATGGTTAGTGTCTCACTCAGGCCACTGAGAGGGGTTCTGTTTTAAACTAGTTAGGTCTTTGAAACCAGTTAACTTTTGCAACTCTTTTCTCAGAAATACATCATTTGTCTCAGCCTCCGACTGGTTCAGACTCTTGTTTGAACCAGTGGACCTAAACCACAGGTGGCAGGCAGCAACAGACAGGGGAAGGGGCGGAGAGTGGACAGCAGAAAGGGCAGTGGAGGCAGCCTGCCCTGGGAGTCAGGAGTCATAGTCCTGCCTTTGATGCTGACTTGGGGTATGATCTTGGGCAAACCTTTCAGGGCCTGTAGAAGGCAATCCTTGCTGGTGAACATCCTGGAGATATTTTGAGAGTCTGGTGATTGAACATGATATAATTCATTGTGAAAGGGTATTGAGAAGCTACACGAATAGAACTGAAAATCTGTCATTTCATTCATTTGTTCATTTATTTGCTGGTCATTGTGTTCTTGTGTGTAGTTAACTCTGCTCTATGCTCTCCTCATTCTTTGGCTTTCCTTCTAAGCATTTCTCACAGATCATTATTACATTCTCATTTTTATGATTATCTACTACACTGGAAAGCTCTAAGATATGTCTGTTCCACTAACATATGCACCACAGCACTTAGACCAGAGTCTGGCAAATATTAGGCCTTAAGTACTAATTTATGGAGTAAATGAATAAATAATTTCTCTTCTGTAGCAGTGAATCTACCAGACTCCATTCTCAAGAGGAGCACAGTCCAGGAAGGGAGGAGAGTACATGCATGTGCGATTCATGCTAGCGTTAGGTAGAAGTGAACTTGCTTTCAGAGAGGTTCAGAAAAAGTACTTTGGAAATTCTGGGGAAGGAGATGGCCAGGAAGCTGGGGAGGCCTCAAAGACAAAGAGGTGCCTCAGTTGGCCATGAAGCCATGCAGGAGTTTGGCCTGGGCCATAAGTGGAGTCTGCAGAAGGAACAGTGTGAGCACAGCCATGGCTCATGGGAGGGTCTGCAGGAAGTTCCTTCTGTGATGTGCAGTATATGACCAGGGACTAGAAAGAGCAGAGGGCCAAATGGATGCCTTTTTTTCCCTCAAATTATGAAAGGCCTCGAATGCCTGGCCACAAAATCTTGACTTTCTCAAGTAATGACTTGACATTACTGATGACATTTGGACAAGCAAGTGACTTTGAGATGTATCGTGGGATGTTAGTGTGAAGAGCTTGTGTTACTATTGGTGGGCAGACTTGTTAGGAGGAAGTAAGGGCCATGATGAAGGATGTGGAATTGAGGTGGTCAGGGGAGGAGCAGTCAGAGTGAAGTTTGGGTTTCTGGCAGAACCATTCATTGAGGCTAGAAGCTTGGGGATAGAGGTTTAGAAGAAATGATCACAAAAGACTGAGTTTGAGGTACTTGTCCTTCTCCTCAATGGGGTAAACATAGTTTAATAGCTCAAGGTAGAGATCTGGGCTGGGGAGAGAGGTCTGGGAGTTGTTGATTTATCTGAGATGAGTAAAGTCAAGGGTGGGGATGAGGTTCCCCAAATGTCCCAGATATCTAGTGCTATGCAACAAATCACACCAATATTTCATGGCTTATTTAAAGCCAGTCATTCAGTTTGATCACGAATCTGCAAGGGTTTGGGTAGGTCTCACAGAGAATGACCGTCTGCTCAATGCTGCATCCTCAAGGGATGGCTTGCTAGGTAGGCACTGTACCCAGCCCAAGACAATTCACATGACATGAGGGTTGCTGCTGGCTGTCGACTGGCACCTCAGCTGGGGCTCTTGGCTGGAACCTCTACGTGTGGCCTCTCCATGTGTCTGCTTGGGCATCCACACAGCATGGTGGTAGGGTATCCAAGCATGAACATCTCAAGAGATGAGAAATGGAAGCTGTCAGTTTCTCAAGATTTGGGTCCAGAACCAGACTGACAGTATCCCTTCCACTGTGTTCTGCTGGTCCAGCAGATTGAAGGAGAAGAGACAGAACTCCAACTCTCAGTGCTGAAGAAGTTTAGCACTTCTTATATCTGGATTCTGGGAGGGGCTTAAAAATATCTATTGAGTGAATGAGTAAATGAACAGAAAGATATAGTGAGAGGAATATCTGGGGCTTGAGGGAAACAGCTATTTGAGACATTGGCTGAAGTTAGCAAAGAAAGGGGATACACTTGGGGAGGTCAGTAAAATCTAGACTGGTTAGGGCTATGAACTTCAGGCTAAGGGGATGGGACTTGAGCATGGGATAGACAGGAGAACCCACTAAGTGCCCAAGGGGCCATGGAACGGGAGCAGAGGTGAGGCCTAGACCTGGGCCTGATCTAGGTGAGGTCCCCTGGGGTCCGCAGCTTTGGGCTTCTGCTGGCCTCGATCCCTGCTCCAATCTGCCCTCAGGCCTGGACATTCTGTCCCTGGCACCTGTGGAATGCACAGTGGGCACACCCAACAATAGAATCCTTGGGAGTTAGAGGCAGCACCCTAGCCCCTTTTCCTCTGGGCCAGGTTGGTCTTACCTTTGTAGCAGATGAGAGTATGGCCCCTTTTGAAGCACATTTACTAATCTCCTGGGTCCTTGAAAAGACAAGGCTGTATTTCCTCTGTGAACACAGCTTCTTCGTGTGGCCATGAGCCCCTGGACATCGAAGTTGAGGTAACCCTAGGACGTGGCTTCTTTCTTGGGGACCTGCAGACCCTCAGAAGGCTGTAGACCCGGTCTAAGGAGTGGGTCCTTCATGCTGAGATTTCTCCAGGCCCTTATCTGCCAAGAGTAGAGGCCGCCCAGGGCACGCATGCAGAGGTGGGCAGGCCTCTGTGTGGCCCTCACCAAGGCCAGGTCTCACGTGGCTCTGTTTATCTGGGTTCGGCCCACGCCAGCATGGGCCGGAGGGCTGAATGCTGTCAAGGTCGTGCCGAGAGACAGTGATCCTCCTTGTGGCAGCTGGCCGAGGGAGGTCCTGGCTGACGTAGCAGCCACTCTCTGAAGAAAACCTGATCTCCAGAGAGCTGATGAACAGCAGGAGCTGGCCAAGACCCTGAATGAGGCTCTGAGTTACACCAGCCTTTTCTCCTCACTTATTTGCTCTGGTCCTCTGCTGAGGAGCAGTTAGGGAACCCTCCCTAGGTGCAGGGCACCTGGCCACTCTACCTTTACGGATTTTTTAGGAAACGTATCCTGGTGAGGGTGAGGCGGACAAAGGACGGAGGGCTCCCTGGGCCTGGACATCTTGCTCCTGGGAATGTGGTCGACGGCCTGACCATGGTGGTCACCCAGCTGAATCTGGAGTTTCGCTTTCAGGGCAAGAAGCTTCGAGGCTTCAGTTGTGAGCTCACTCGGTCCCCCTATGGAGTCTTCCCTGAGACCGTCTTCACCATCACGTGCCAGATCATGGTACCCCTTCTGCTGTCGGGCCTGGGCATGATGACTGCTGGCCTGGTGATGGACACCATCCGAGTGCGTACTGGGGGTCTGAGAGGCAGCGTGGGGCCCCGGGTTAGGCATCGCAGATAAGACAGGCTGGGGGTTGCAAGAGGCCGCTGAGTGGGACTGCAGCCCTGAGTCCAGCCTCAATGCCTGGGAGTCCCAGTATCAATGGTGCTGGCAGAAGGATCCTTCAGGAACCTCTGCATCTGAGATTTACAGAAGCTTCTGATGACCCTCTCTGAAAATAAGCCCTCATGAGCTACATTAGCCCCAGGAGCTCAAACCATTTTCCTTCTAGGAAATGCAGGCTCATTAGGCAGGGCCTGAGGGGTTCAAATCCTGGCTCTGCTGTTTGCTCACTATTGTTAGTATCCTACTGCTTCAGCTTCCCCATCTGCCATGGGGCTAATAAACACACTCACCTTGCAGAATTGTGAGGATGGATGACTGAGTGCACCTTGTGTTGTGGCCCAAGGGTGATGGGCATTACAACTTCCAGCCTCCAGAATCTCCATGGGGATTTTCCATGAGAGGATAAGGGCCAGAGCCTGGGCTGGGGGTCCAGGGCAGCGAGCGGCTATGGTGTTCTTCATAGGGTAGAGGCATTTGCTGGGAGGCCCTTGAGTTGTCACACACTCTGGCGTTCACTTCTCCTGGTGTGTTTATGCCCTGGGGTTGGCTAAGGTAATGCTGTTTTAATCACTGAGGGTTTGCTCTGTCTACTTAAACATTTCTTACAGATTTAGTGTGTTATTTTAGATAAATTAGAAAATGTACATAAGTGAAGGGGGCTGGGCACCCATAATCTCTGTCAACATTGTGCCATGTATCTATCAAGAACAGAAAAACACATAAATATGTGGGATTATAGTACATGATGTGCTTTTTAACATGTAAAATTAAATTTAAATTTAGTTTTTTAACCCATGGGGACATCCCAGATAACACTGTACCTTCCTCAGTACACACAGCATCTTTTTATTAATGCCCATCCAGCATTTCCCAGTACGCCCGTCTGAATTGGAGAGGGGTCATCAACACCCACCCTGGCCCACTGGTCTCTGAATGAGGCTTGTGATGCCTCCCATCACAAGAGACCCCTGCTTGTGATGGGAGGCATCCCATCGCAAGCCTCTGCTTGCATATCTCAGTGGATGGGACACTCACCCCTCCTCGGTCTGGAGAAGCATACTGGCCAGCTCGCTATTAGAAAACTTGTGTTCATCTGGGCTTGAGACCTAGATACCC